GGCAGGGGCTGTGGGAGGGCATGCTTGGTGCTCACGGGTGACTGTCCCCTCGTCGCCAGCCCCTGAAGTGCAAGGACTTCTTCCCTTTCGGGAAGGGCATCTGGGAGGACATCGAGCGCCGCTTCCCCGTTTACGCGCTGGACTTCACCGATGGTACGCGGCCCTGCTGTGGCTCCTGGTCCCCAGACCCCGCACGCATCTGCCTCCTCACCTGACCCCGGGCCGTCTCTCCCTCCCTCCCCCTTGCCTAGGCATCATCGGGAAAAACAAGGCTGTGGGCAAATACATCACCACCACCTTATTCCTCTACTTCGCTTGTCTTCTCCCTACCATCGCCTTCGGGTCGCTCAACGACGAGAATACCAACGGGGCCATCGGTGAGGGCCGGGTGCGGGGTGGCGCTGGGGCTGGGCGGGGCTGCGGGATGCATCTCACCTTCTCTTCCACAGATGTGCAGAAGACCATAGCCGGCCAGAGCATCGGGGGCCTCCTGTACGCGCTCTTCTCAGGCCAGCCACTGGTGATACTGCTGACAACCGCGCCCCTGGCCATCTACACCCAGGGTGCAGTGTGGGGCCCGAGGCGGGAGCCGGTTGTTGCAGGGGCCGGGGTCAGCCCAGCCCTGACGCCCGGCCCGCTCTGCCGCCTCAGTGATCCGAGTCATCTGCGACGACTACAACCTGGACTTCAACTCCTTCTACGCGTGGACAGGCCTGTGGAACAGCTTCTTCCTCGCCCTCTACGCCTTCTTCAACCTCAGCCTCGTCATGAGTCTCTTTAAGAGGTGACAGGGCCTGCCCTGAGCTGCTGGCACCCAGCAGCTGGGGATCCCAGGGCTGCCTCCGAGGGCCCATGACCCCAAGGGGCTGGGGAAGCTTGCCAGGCGGGCCCCCCCCCCACCAGCCCCATGACAGTTTTCACCTTTACAAGGCATGGTACCTCCTGCAGGTCTACGGAGGAGATCATCGCCCTGTTCATTTCCAGCACTTTTGTGCTGGATGCTGTCAAGGGCATGGTCAAAAGTGAGTGCATAGTCACCGTCTACAGAGGGCACTGGGTTAAACTGGGGGGTTCTGTGCTGGGGGTGGGTGGAGGCAGGGCTGCCCATCTGGGACCAATACCGGGCAGATGTTGGGCCAGGTACCACGGGGTATCAGATGGGGTAGGGAGCTGGGAGGTGAGGGTGAGGTCCCGGCCGGCAGAAGAGGCCACAGTCCCCCACTCCCTGGAAGTCGTACCCTCCCCCGAGCCCCAGCACTCCCCAGTCCCCTGCCCCACATCCTTGAGCCCAGCCAGCTGAGGCCTGAAGTCTGTCCACAGTTTTCTGGAAATACTACTACGGGCACTCCCACTACACGAAACGGGCTCTGTCGCTGCCCAGCCTGGCGGACGCCGGTGCCGGCCACAACAGCAGCCTCCACACCGCCCTCAACGGCAGCCTCCTGACCGGCCCGCCAGAGCTGGCCACGGCAGGCAGCTCCAATGCCATGCACTCTGGCCAGGCCACAGCTGTGCTCAGTCTCCTCATCATGCTGGGCACGCTGTGGCTGGGCTACACCCTCTACCAGTTCAAGAAGAGGTGAGAGGAAAAAAAAAGGCGAGATGCCTGAGGAAAGGCCAGGGTGGTGCAGCACCCAGGTCCTGCTCACGTGTCCCCTCCTCCCCACGTCTGCAGCCCCTACCTGCACCCCTACGTGCGTGAGATTCTGTCCGACTGCGCCCTGCCCATCGCTGTACTCACCTTCTCACTCATTAGCTCCTATGGCTTCAAGGAAATCAAGAGTGAGCCAGGACCACGTGGGGTGGGGGTAGGGAGCTCCGTTTCCGGGAGGGGGAGTTACAGACTGAGCCTGCCTCTCCCTGCTGCAGTGAGCAAGTTCCGCTACAACCCCAGCGACAACCTGTTTGAGATGGCGCAGATCCACTCCCTGTCCCTGGGAGCCATCAGCGGCGCCATGGGCTTGGGCTTCCTGCTCTCGCTGCTCTTCTTCATTGAGCAGAACCTGGTAGCTGCCTTAGTGAATGCCCCAGAGAACAGGTGCGAGGTGGGGTGGGCAGGGTAGGACCGGGGTCGGGTGGGTGTGTACCCAGGCCTCCAAGGGCCAAAGGTGATCTGCCCATGCATGCCCATCTGCCGCAGGCTGGTCAAAGGCACTGCCTACCACTGGGACCTCCTGCTGCTCGCCATCATTAACACCGGGCTGTCTCTGTTTGGGCTGCCCTGGATCCACGCCGCCTACCCACACTCACCACTCCATGTGCGGGCACTGGCCTTGGTGGAGGAGCGCGTGGAGAACGGGCACATTTATGAGACGTGAGTGTGACAGTGGCCCATGGGGCAGGGGGCACGTGTGACTGAGGGAGAGACCAGAGGGGTCTCTGAGAGCTGGGCAGTGACCCAGGGCGGCCCCTGCAGAATCATGAACGTGAAGGAGACGCGGCTGACGGCCCTTGGCGCTAGCATGCTGGTGGGCCTCTCGCTGCTGCTGCTGCCCTTCCCGCTGCAGTGGATCCCCAAGCCTGTGCTCTACGGCCTCTTCCTGTACATTGCACTCACCTCCCTGGACGGCCACCAGCTCTTCCAGCGGGTGGCCCTACTGCTGAAGGAGCAGGTAGCAGGCCTGGGCCCGGGGAGGGAAGGATGTGGGTATGGGGCGGAGCAGGGAGGGGACGTGCCACACATCTGCAATCCCCACCGCTGGCTGCCCGCAGACTTCATACCCACCCACGCATTACATCCGGAGGGTGCCCCAGAGGAAGATCCACTACTTCACCGGCCTGCAGGTGCTGCAGCTGCTGCTGCTCTGTGCCTTCGGCATGAGCTCCCTGCCCTACGTGAAGATGGTCTTTCCGCTCATCATGATCACCATGATTCCCATCCGGTATGTCAGGGGCTGGGCTGATCAGGTGGGGCGGGGCTAGGCGCTACACACACACACACACACACACACACAGAGCAATGTCCTTCCCTCACCTCTTGGTGCTCTTGCCTCCTCTGCCTCCAGCTACATCCTGTTACCCCGAATCATTGAAGCCAAATACCTAGACGCCATGGATGCCGAGCACAGGCCCTGAGGCCACCCCGTCCACTCTGGCCCTGTGGGGAAGCAGGGTACCCTCTCACAGCTGTCCCCTGGGGCCCTGGGCAGCTGGCACTGTGGGGCCCTGAGGTGCACCCATCCTGCTCCCCACTAGCCTGCAGCCCTAGGCAGAAGCTGCCCAGGGAGAGACGAAGCTGGATGGATTTTCTTTTGATAAAAGAGTAGATGCCTGAATGAGAAACTCATTTCCTTGATTGTGTAAGGAACTTGCTGTACACAGATTAGAGAATAAAGCTCTGTTTCTATGCTTCCATGCGCCACCTCCACCCCTGTGGCCCCACCCCAGCTTGGGGAGGGCGGGACCAAAGTTGTGGAGTGTCACTTATGGGCTGTGACTTCCAGCTCCACTGTGAGTGCCAGTGAAACATGGACATGCAGGCCTTTGCCATGTGGTCAGGAACCGTGGGGAAAAGCATGAGCAGGAGGGGCCTGTGGCCTGGGAGTGAGCTTCAGGATGACGGTGCTGGGGTGCAGACTGGAGATCTGCATCAGCAGGTGGCACTGGCTTCTGTACAGGTCCTCAGCTGTTTACTTGGGTGGCAGGGGCAGGACTGTGCAGTAAAAGTGATGGTGGGCATTTAGGGAAGTGGTAGGACTGCAGCTGGAAGGAATGGGGCTTGGTCTGCTTGGGGGGGGGATGGTGTCAGGTTTCCAGCTTGGTCACTTGATGGCAGGCTGGAGTCTGGGCCGATGACAGTAGCAGCAGTGGCTCAGGCTGGACCCCGAGCATCCCTGGGACAGCAGCACGCTCCCTGTGCAGCTTGGGAGGACGGGTGACAGACACCAACAAAGGGGACAAGATGGCTGGTGGTGACACCAGCAGGTTCGGTTGTGGCTTGGCACTCCCCTATCCTATTTGGGGCCACTAGCACTGAGGATCCCAATCCAGTTTTCTGCTGATGCACCTAAGGAAGTGGCAAGTGACTCGGGTCCCTGCGTGCACATGGCAGACAGGTGGCACTCCTGGCTGTGGCACTCTTGGTCTATCACTCTGCCATTTACAGAGACACATCTTTTAAAAAGGGAAGAAAAACAAACAAAAACAAAAAGGGGGAGGACAGTAGTGGCACATGTCCAGGTCAGGAGGAGCCGAGCAGCAAATGAGCCCCAAGTTCTGTGACCCACCAGCAGTGTAGCACAGGGTTCATCGGAGCCCCCTCCCAGCAGCCTGGGCATGCCCCACAGGTGCCCAATCACCAGGCAGGGCGGAGGCAGGTCCATCAAGGAGACCCCTCAGGAGCTGGGTAGAGGCACAGGCACTTCCTGGGGATACAACACTCCTGGGCTGCAGGGATGTGACCTCACCCAGATGCACGGGAGAGGGACAGCGCCTAGCTCCTGGCCATCCGGAGGTCTGAGGATTCAATGGGACGGAAGCTGTGCAAAGTGGCCGGTGACTGACCTCTGCCAGAGAATGGTCCGCACTAAACAAGGCGCATGCCTAGGCCCTGTAGGTCCCTCCAGGGAACAGCTTTGTCGGGGCCCCGGAATGGGTCTGAGGTGGCTGAGCCGTGTCCTGGGAAGGGCCCGAAGCCTCCAGGCCCCAAGGACTCTGCCCCTCCCTGTGAGGAAGATGGACTTGAACTTGGCAGCATCACACAGCTAAACTTTGTGCTCTCAACAGCACAAAGCGCCAGCGCTGGTCGGGGCCCGCTGCCCACCACATGCCATGCGGGCCACCTCGGTGGTGACACCCCCTCAGGGGTGGGTGGACCGCAGGCATGTGAGATGGAAGAGCTCAGTCCATGACCTGGAAATTGGAGGAACTTGCAGAACAAGGGCAAGAAACACAAGTGGTGATGTGTGGCCACAGCCCTCCTGGGCACACAAATGCCCTCGGCGCCACCACGGGGCTCCCTGTACCTGTTAGGGGTCTCGGGGAGACACAGCTGGGTAGAGTTCTAGGCAGAGATGTCCAATTTATTTTGGAAACAAGGGCCTCCCGGAATTGTCTATGCATTTGGAAACAACTAAGGCTGTTTGTTCCTTGCCACACCTTCAATCCTGCCAAGGCCAGTTTCAACCCCAAAGGTCCTTTCAGGATCCCAGGCCTGGAGTCTGCAGGAGATGGTGGACTCCTTGGGACAACTTGTCCAAAGGTTCCGAGCAGGACCTGCTGCTCCTCTGGACAGGGTTGGTGCCAAGGCTGGAAATAACGGGCGTGCCTGCCCCACCTGCCCGAAGGCAGAGCTGGGCTAGCCCTCGCCGGACCCCTGGCCAGGAGTAAGGCTGCCAAAGTAGTCCTGCAGTGCCCGCAGAGCTCGGTAGCGGTGTGAGATGACATTCTTCTCTGCCTTGGGCATCTCGGCATACCTGTGGGGGGACAAGAGCAGCTCGGAGATGCAGCCTGCCCAGAGGGCAGGCCCCGCGGAACCCACCAGGGCAGCCCAGAGCACTGACTTCTAGAAAACAGGCAATCTTTTTTTTTTTCAGCAAAGACTTTTCACCCACTGGTTCACTCTGCAAATGCCTGTGACAGCCGGGGTCGGCAGCTCAACCCAGGTCTCCCACCTCTGTGGCAGGGACCCAAGTCCCGGGGTGTACCTGAGCAGGAAGCTCACACCAGGCACTCAGAGAGGGGATGCTGGCGGCCACAAAGCGGCTCAACCCCTGTGCCAAACACCTGCCCCTGCCAGTTCATTTTTAAGAATTTGAGGGCAGGAGTTAGGTGTACTGATGAAGACGCCCCCAGGGAGCAGACACCGTACAGCAGAAAGCAGCCAGCCACCCTGCCCCCAGTCCAACGTCCTGCTAGTGAGCCCTGGAGGCAGCAAGTGATGGTTCAAGTTCTTGGGTCCCTGCCACCCAGGTGGGAGCCATGGATGGAGTTTTGGGTTCCTGGCTTCAGCCCTGGCTGTTCTAGGTATCTGGGGAGTGAAATAATTGATGGAAGAACTCTCTTTCTCTGGTGCTCTTTCAAATAATAAAAATATGGTTTAGTTGGGCCCCCACCTAAATGGATGGAGTTCCTGACTTCCCACTGGCCCAGCCTCAGCTACCGTATGCAGGCATTTGGGGAGTGGACTAGTGCGTGGAAGATCTCTGCCCCTCTCTGCCTTTCAAATACAGATTCTTGCTCTAGTGTGTCTGAAAGCCGTCAAGGAAGCTGGGGTGGGGATGAGCTGTTTGATCAGCTTTGTAGTCTGTTGACAGGAAGCAGTGGGGCCTGACCTGACACCGGGGCAGGGCGGGGTCCGAGCAGCTGGCCAGTGGCCTGTCCTCGTGACCTTCACACCTGTGTGTCCAACCTAGCAGCCACTAGCTATGTGTGGCTACTGAGATGAATTAAAAAGAACTAAAGTCACTTCAGTTCCTCAGGCTCCCCCTCTTCGAGTGTCCCAGAGCCACACGTGGCTGGCGGCTGCACACGGACACTGCACAGAACATTTCAGTCACCAGAGAGCTTCCTTGGGCAGCACGGCTGCAGTGTCAGCTCTGCCAGGCCCCAGACTACCCCCTACTCCATGCCCACAGAGCCCAATTCCAGCAATGGCAATTGTGTGTCCTGGAAACAAGGGGCTCAGGGTAAAATGCCAAGGACATGGACCCCTGGGCGCTGAACCCAAAAGTAGTCAAAGTGCCAACCCATTCCTGACTTTGATGGGGCGTTGGGGGATCACCTGCCAAGGGGTCAGGCTTACACATGAGGAGCCAAGGCCACAGAAGGGAAGCCGCTGCTCACATGGCTGCTCTGGAGTGGACCGGGGCACAAGAGCTTGGACTCAGCTGCGCCTGGTTGCCTCCTCCGCGGAGGGCTGGGCCACCCGGATTCCTGGTGGGCACCCCCCGCCGAGCTGCCTTCAGCCAGAACGGCTCTGGGTATCCCCAGAGCATGCACCCGCCCCCACCTGCAGGCTAGCGCCAGGGTAGGGCACAGGCCTAGCCCTACCGCCCAGGGGAGACCTCAGGACTCTTACGTCTGCTCGTATCCATCCGGCTGAAAGCAGGGGTCCCAACCAAAGTCCCGGCTGCCTCGGGGTTCCACGATCCGACCCTGTTGCAGGAAAGGAGCAGGCGTGGGGGATGGGCGTCAGCAGGGCAGTGGCCAGCATGCCTTCGGTTGTAAATTTGCTTAAACCCTATTTATTCTGAAGGCATTTCCTGGGGGCTGCCGGCTGGCCTGGTGGTCACGCTGCCTGCAGCCCATATCCAAGCATCCGGGTTCCAGCCCTGGCACCCCTCCAGATTCCAGCTTCCTGCTAAGCCCCAGAGGCAGCAGCTGACAGCTCAAGTACTTGGGCCCCTACCACCCTCAAGGTGACCTGGATGGAATTGGTCTGGCCACAGCTGTTGTGGGCATTTGGGAGTCACCCTGAGGGTAGGAGTTCTGTGTCTCTCATGTGAGGAGGGAAAGAGAGGATCATTTTCTCCTGGGAAGGGCCCTTGGCAGGCATTTCTCAAACCCAAGAGGAGCTTCAGCAATTAACTCTAGTCTCATCAAAACACTCAGCCAGACCCCAGCACATAAGAGCTCAATAAACACAGGGCAAGGACCCAATGCAGTAGCCTAGTGGCTAAAGTCCTCACCTTGCACGCACCAGGATCCCAAATGGCTGGTTCATAGCCCACCTGCTCCATTTTCCTTCTAGCTCCCTGCCTGTGGCCTAGGAAAGCAGTGGAGGATGGCACAAAGCCTTGGGACCCTGCACCCATGTGGGAGATCTGGAAGAAGCTCCTGGCTCCTGGCTTTGGATTGGCTCAGCTCTGGCCATTGCAGCCATTTGTGGAGTGAACCAGAGTATGGAAGATCTTTCTCTCTCTTTCTCTCTATTAATCTGACTTTCCAATGAAAAAAGTAAATAAATCTTAACAACAAAAACACAGGCAAGGGGAGAGGGAAGGCACAGCAGCACAATGTGCTGAGTCCGCGCTTGGGCACTAGACTCTCAGAGCGGAGTGGCAGGGACTGAGTTCTGTCTCTGCTTCCAGCGGGTGAAGGCTCAACTACTTGAGGCCGTCTTCCATGTTTAAGGATGGGGTTTCTGGCTCCTAACTCCTAACTTTGGCCTGGCCACGCCTTGGCTGTTATAGCCATTTGGGGAGTGAATTATCAGAGAGAAGATCTCTATTTTATTTTGCCCTTCCGAATAAATAAAAACAACTTTTGGAGGTTAGTGTCGTGGCATAGCAGGTGAAGCTGTCACCTGTGACGAAGACATCCTATTTAATGCGGTTGCAGAGCCGGCTGCTCCACTTCGAATCCAGCTCCCTAACAATGTGCCTGGACACCAGCAGATGGCCCCAGCACTGGGGCCCCTGACACCCACAGGAGTCGTAAGAAGCTCCATACTCCTGGCTTTGGCCTGGCCTGGCTCTGGCAATTGCAACCATTTGAGGAGTGAACCAGTGGATGGAAGATCTTTCAGATACCTCTGTCTATTCCTCTCTGTAACTCTTTCTTTTCTTTTAAAACAATGTTTTTTTTGAAACATCAGATTTGTGGAGAGAAGGAGAAGCAGAATGGCTGCAATGGGTAGAGCTGAGCCAATCTGAAGCCAGGAACCAGGAGCTTCTTCCAGGTCTCCCACATGGATGCAGGGTCCCAAGGCTTTGGGCTGTTCTCCACTGCTTTCCCAGGTCATAAGCAGGGAGCTGGATGGGAAACAGAGCAGCCAGGACATGAACCTGTGCCCATTATGGGATCCATTATGCAAAGTGAGGAGTTAGCCATTGAGCATAACTCCGACTTTTAAATAAGTAAAGAAATTTTAAGCAAAAAGAAAAAAAAATTTTTTTAAAGTAGACTGGCTGCCATAGGTAAATTCCACATAAACAAATGTAGCCCAGAGTCATGTGATGTCAGATTTTCATAAAAGTTAAATAAATAAATAAAAACTAACTTGAAAGCTTCAAGGTTGCTGACAATGGCGATGGCCACAGAGAGGTCGAGTCAGGTAGCCCAGAGGTGAACCCCGCCTCCACGGGCGGCTGTGTGTCCAGGCTAGTCACCGACCTGCTCTGACCCTCGTCCACCTGGACCTGAGCAGCAGCGAGGCCCAGACACTAAGGGCACAGCAGGCCTGGCCCTGCCTTCCTACCGTGGACCACGTCACCACAGCAGGCATCACCCCTGTACATAAGTGATCTCTGCCGAATGCCAAGTGCCTTAAGGGGAGGAGCAGCATGGCGAGCTGGAGAACGGCAGGTGGAGTGACCGGGCCGGGAAGCTCAGGCAAGGCCATCACGAAAAGGGGACCCTTTAGCCATATAAAAGGCGAGAGCAAGAAGGTATCTTCCAGCCTGAGAAGCAGCTCACCCGAAGGGTGTGACGGGTGGCCACGGTGGCTGAACTGCAGCTGCAGGAGATATGAATCTGAAACTTAAGACTGTGTGTCCGGGAGGTCAGGAAGGCTGAGAGATATCACAAGAGAGGCTGCAGCCTGGAGGAGTGTGGGCGAAACGGCTATGGGGGCAGGCACCTTCAGTGTGTAGTGGCCTCCCTGCACACGGTGCAAGCCCCGGGTGTGCCAGGCCCCCAGAGCTAGCAGCCTCACACATCACAGAGGTCTCGGGACTGGCATTCCCTGGCACTGTTGCACCCTGAGGCCTGGGACAGCGGGCTTGGCTGGCAGCGCCCTCTAGCGGCAAGTGCAAAAACAACAATGTGTAGACGGGTACCTACCGGGGTCCGGCCCCGGAAGAGCTGCACGGGCTCGTTGGGGTCCCCAGTGCTCAGAGCAAATGTGCAGAGCGCATAGGCAGACTTGTCCTCGAAGCCGGCCAGAAGCTGGTGGAGACCTGCAGACATGTGGGTACAGTAAAGCTCAGTGCATCTGTCTGTTCATCCCCCCCTCGCCCCTAGAATCCCACCAAGGGCGAGGGGAGAGGACTGGGTTCGAAGTTGAAGGCGGTGGCTATGGAGGGCTACCTCCAGCACATGCTTTGTGAAATGCAGAAAACCAGCCATGGCCGTGTGCTTCCTGGTTCACCTGTAAGAAGGGACTTCTGCCACCATGGAAATCTACAATTATGTATGACTAAGAAATTATCATTATTATTACATTACTAATAGTATTATTTTGGCTGGTGGTTTTATGGGACTGAAGAACTTAATAGAGATGATGTTTGGGATTTGCTTTTAAAACACTGGACTGAGGCAAAACTGTGTAGGGGTGCAAATCTCACAAGACAGGCATGGTGCTGACAACTTGGGAAGCTGGGTGACCAGGACACAGCCTTCAGGCCATTACCCAAATGCTCTTTTTCTCCTTAACTGACAAATGTTCTGTGACAGCAAGCATCTTGGCCCACACCTGTGGGTGAAACCATGGACTCCAGGCACCTCCCGGGGACTGCCCCTGAGGCCTGGGCCAGGCCCTGGCTGAGGGCAGGCCAGCAGGCAGGCCCCAACAATCAACTTCAGCCCCTCTGTCTTCACTCCCAGCTGTCACCAAGCCTTCTCTTACCCACCCACCCCCACTTCTGTCTGAGTCCAGGAAACTCCTGCGGGCTGCAATGTGGAATTCCCGACTGGCAGCCTGGCCACCCATCCCCGCCGGCCCCCAGTGTCCAGCAGATGCACGGGGAAAGGCAGGGCAAGATTACCTTCAGGCTTCAGCTTCCCCAGAAACCACTTGCTGCAAGAAAAGCAAAGGCGGTCAGACGCGGGGCAGAGGATCCATCCCACCGCCGGCGCCAGAGGCCCGGGCCGACTGGCTGGGTGCCAACGAAACCAAATGACTCAGATCCAAACCAAGGGAGCGGATCTAACGGGGAAGAGGGAACGAAGGCCAAGACCCCATCAACTACTGCAGGGCTCAGCTTCCCTTGTAATATGGAAAAATGCAAACGAAAACTGCACACTCCCCAAACCACCACCTAGGGAAAGGTTCTGGTGGTGCTGGCCCAAGTCCCACGGGAGTTGGTATGGTGGCAGCTGTCCCGGCCAGCTGTGTGCTGTTCCACAAATCATACACAGCCAAGCCCAGCACCAGCACTTCCACACATGTGTCCCCAACCCCACACAGCGGTACCCCATTCCAGATACCAGCCAGGACCTTCTGAGTGGGCAGCCCTTTTAAGAAACCAGTTTTCACATCACCACGACCTCATTTCCTCTGTCCTAAAATGGTTCTGTCTACGGACGTAGTCCTCCAACAGGTGGCCCCCTTTCCCAACTCCACTTACACAGTCTCATTCACACACATGTAAAGCCGAGACTCCCCACCCAAGCCTCCTTGATTCTCCTTCCAGACGAGCTGAAATGTTTGCGCTGCGCAGAGGCAGTGAGAGAGCTGCGGCACCAGCTAACTGGTCACTGCACTCCTGGCACTTTGGTGACAAGGCCCACAAGGAAGCAGGGGGTTGGGGGTCGGGCAGGGCACTCACATGTAGGGGCCGGGGAGACCCCCGAGGGCATTGAAGCACAGACAGGTGTCTTCCACCAAGACGGGTCCCTGAACCTGCAGCAACAAAGACATGTAGCTCTGAGACCAGCAACCAGCAGCAGGCTCCTCCCTGCTCTGTCCTCCAAGGTCACAAGGCTGGACCACGCTCACAGCTGAGATCTGCAGCAGCTGACTGAAGCCCAACACGAGCCAGTTACCTCCTCTCGGCTCTGAGAGAAGGCGACACACCAGAAGCTTTTGCTTGCTCCAGGGCAGAGCAGCGGGAAGTGCTGGGACTCACACTCAAACAGCTCGACTCTTTGTAAAGTGCTCCTTTTCAGTTTCTCATGGGTGTGGGGGGCAGGCCTGCACGTGGTGGGGAGAGCGCAGGGCTGCAATGCACATTTTTGGATGGGAGGAGGGAGGTGGGAGAGTGTGTGTGTGAGTGTGGCAGGGGACCAGCGTGGAGGACGCAGAATGCAGTCAAGGCTGGGAAAGGCAGGCAGGGTTCCAAGGCCAAAAGGAACAGAACAATACGAACACAAATTGTGCCTGCTCTATTCTTGTCTGCTGTCCCCAAGAGCCAGCGGGATGAGGGTCACGGGGATTCAGGTACAGGGCACACACCTGGCGAGCAGCCTCCCGACACTTCTGAATGGAGATTTCGTCCGGCTCTCCCTGGTACTCGGGCACTTAGCAGGGAAACAGACACGGAGTCAGGCCATGGCAAGACAGACACGGCAAAATCAGCTTTTACACACAGAACAGAACAGAACAGACGTACGGTCAATCTTGCGAGCTTCCAGGGTGCACGGAAACGTGTCGCCTAGAATCTGAATGACCTGTTGCAAGAGGAAAGAACATTCAGCACAGGCTGCCTGCGATGCCTGTTCCCACAGGCCCACCAGGGAACTCTCTTGCTAGGCGCTCTTGCCCGCCTCCTTCAAGCCTCTGCTTGGGTCAAACCATCCCTTTCCTTCCAAGGCTCTCAGAGACCACACGCCTCCGCCAGGAATTCTCTAGCAGTAGCTACCCAGAATCCAGGAGGCCTGCAAACTCTGATATGAAAATAAGCACCTATTTTCACTGAAATTTAATCAAAATATAGCTTGGGGCTAATGCCATGGCATAGAAGTTAAGTTTCCATCTGTGGTGCTGGCATTCCATATGGGGGCCGGTTCAAATCCTGACTGCTGCGCTTCCAATCCAGCTCCTTTGCTAATCACTTTGAAAAACAGTAGAGGGAGACCTGGAGGAAGCTCCTGGCTCTATATCAATCCAGCTCCAGCTGTTGTAGGCATTTGGGGGGCAAACAAGTAGATGAAAATCTTTTCTCTCTGTAATTCTGCCTTTCAAAAAAAAAAAAAAAAGACCAACAGGACAGATAAGGGGTGAGCACCGGGTACCCGGTAGGACAGGCCAGGACAGGCCACTAGGACATCCCGTTCTGCAGGATGCCACTAGGGGGCGCTGACACCTTCTCCCTGTGGCTCTGGACCTAGCAGCCAGTCCTTTCAACCTCCAGCATCCCCTCAGCTGGCCACAGGTCCCCACGGGAAGACACCAGGATATCCAGTTCTAATCTATTACTCTTCTAAGCTTGGAAAATAATCCCCCCAAGTCTGGCTCTCTGGGACCCAGAAGCTCTTCAAAAAAGCAAAATCCTTCTCTGAACATGCCCTGTCCTCCTCCTCCCTCTTGCTCCCCTCAAACAAGCCACAGCGAACAGAACTTCCCTTCGGATTTATCTGATTGTCCACAAGACCCCCATTTCAGGGTCAGTATGGCACACATAGTGGGTTAACTGTAATACCCACATCCCACATGGAGCACAGGTTCAAGTCCGGGCTACTTGCTTCTATCCTGTTCCCCAATGCACCTGAGGAGAGGAGGTGGCTCAAATGTCAGAGGTCCTTGCACCCACATGGAAGAGTGGCTCAGCCTCAGACACTGCAGTCATTTCAAGAGTAAACCAGTAAAAAAAAAAAAAGGGCCCAGCACAGTAACCCAGTGCCTAAAGTCCTTGTCTTGAAAAGGCCAAATGGGCATCAGTTCTGGTCCTGCTCCACTTCCCATCCAGCTCCCTGCTTATGGCCTGGGAAAGCAGTTGAAGACAGCCCAAAGCCTTAGGACCTGCACCCATGTGTGAGACCTGAAGGAAGCTCCTGGCTCCTGGCTCCTGGCTTCAGATACGCACAGTGCCAGCCGTTGTGGCCACTTGGGCAATGAATTATTGGATGGAAGATCTTCCTCTCTGTCTCTCCTCTCTGTATATCTGACTCGGCAATAAGAATCAATAAATCTTTTTAAAAAATAAAATAATATAAAATAAAATCTCTCTCTCAGGACAGGTGCAATGGCTCAATGACTAAATCCTCATCTTGCAAGCACTGGAATCCCATATAGGCACTGGTTCTAATCCTGATAGCCCCACTTCCCTTCCAGCTCCCTGCTTGTGGCCTGGGAAAGCAGTCGAGATTGGTCCAAAGCCTTGGAACCCTGCACCCATGTAGAAAACCCAGAAGAATCTCCAGGCTCCTGGGTTCGGACTGGCCAGTGTGGCCGCTTGGGGAGCAAACCTGCAGACGGAAGATATTTCTGTCTCTCCTCCTCTCTGTATATCTGCCTTTCCAGCAAAAATAAATAAGTATTGGGTCCGGCGCGGTGGCGCAGTGGTTAAGGTCCTCACCTTGCATGCCCGGGATTCCATATGGGCGCCGGTTCTATCCCAGCAGCCCCGCTTCCCTTCCAGCTCCCTGCCTGTGGCCCGGGAAAGCAGTTGAAGAAGGCCCAAAGCTTTGGGACCCTGCACCCACGTGGGAGACCTGGAGGAGTCTCCTGGCTTCGGATCGGCATAGCATCAACCGTTGCGCTCACTTAGGGAGTGAGTCATTGGACGGAGGATCTTCCTCTCTGTCTCTCCTCTCTGTATATCTGCCTTTCCAATAAAAAAATAATAAAAATAAATCTTTAAAAAAAAATAAATAAGTATTTTTTTAAAGTTACAATGAGATCTTCCATCTGCTGGTTCATTCCCCAGATGGCCTCAATGGCTGCAGCGGAGCCAGAGCAAAGCCAGGAGTGAGGAATCCTGCAGAGTTCAAGCACTTGTGCCATCCTCGGCTGCTTTTCCCAGGCCATCTGGGAGCTGGATCCAAAGCGCAGTGCCAGAAGCTCACAGGTGTCACAGGCAGGCACATCAGCAGCTTTGCTGCAGTGCAGGCCTTATACTACACTTACCAGCTTCCTGCTAACGCACCGCCAGAGCCAGCAACAGCCCCAGTACACGCCTTCTGCCATCCAAGTTTGAGACTGGAAGTTGTTTCCGGTCCTGGCGCCCACCTGTTCTAGCATTGGTTGCTGGGGACACTAGGGGACCCAAGCAGTAGATGGAAGATCTCTGTCTTTCAAGCGAGTACATGTTTAAAAGGGAGAGCTTTCTCTACCCGACTGGCTCCTATGCATGGCAAATTTCGATCCAATCCATTTTTCTCTTGCTAACGTACGTTTTGCTGCATTTATGTGGCCATGAGCTTTACACAGAGTGAGGTTAGAATCGCCCCCTTTCTCATCTCACAGATGCGGAGAGAGGCTGTGGACACTGCTGGACCACCTCAGGACTCCGATTGCTCGGTTCAGACCTCCGTCCCACGTTCCCTCAGGCCCCCGAATCCTCGTCGGGGTCAGTGCCAGGGCCGTGAGGGGCCCTCGCCCCTCTCCAACCCACGGCCGGCCCTTCCACGCAGCCGAGTACTCCCCCATCACCGCGGACCCGCCACACTTCCTCCCGCCTGTTTCCTCCCGGAAGCCCTTTTTGTTCCTTATTCCCAGCCCCCTGATAATCCACCCACACCCCTGTTTCATAACAGCACCTCCTCCAGCTTCTTGGCGTTGCCGGTGACAAACACGATCTTCTTCCCAATCAATGAGGCCGCCATCGCGAGCCCGAGCAGCACGCGAAACCCCAGAAGTCTCTTTGCCCCGAGTCGCAGGGCACTTCCGGCTGGCGTCGGAAGGGGGCAGCCTGGTTTCCGGTCTTCGGCCGGAGAAGGAGGAGTTCCCTGGGCGCTGGACCCGCTGCCGCTCACCGTGTTGGTTGTTAAGGGCCAGGGGAGCCAGGAGCTGCAGCGAGCACCCGCCTGGCGCGCAGGAGCCTGCAGGAACGCCTAGGGGGCACAGCCTGAGGGGCTGCACGGGCCAGGTGGCGCTGCCCCGCCTGAGCTGGAGCTTGGGTGCATCTCCTGGTGGGGGCCATTCAGAAGTGACCACTCCCGTTCGCCCTGCACCCACCCCGGGCCCCGCTGACGCCCCCAAGGCTATCCGGGAAAACCAGAGCTCCCCAAACGTGGATTTTTACCGTGAACTTCTTCTTGCCAGCCAACCCTAATCTACCTGTGAACTTGAATTTACCATAGCCTGAAACAAACTGGGTTTTCACCTGTTCTAGTTTTCTGGTTGCCTCACCTCTCTACCGTTCTACCCACGTATCAGAAGCAGCAGCTTCACAAACTGCACCACAACACTGGCCCTATTTGTTTTTAATTGCCAATGCAGACTATATTTCAAGTCATCATGGTGGGATAATCCCGGCAGCCCTGCTTCCTATCCAGCTCCCTGCTTGTGACCTGGGAAAGCAGTCGAAGAAGGCCCAAAGCCTTGGGACCCTGCACCCTGCATGGGAGACCCGGAGGAGGCTCCTGGCTTCGGATCAGTTCTGCTCTGCCTGTTGTGGCCACTTGGGGAGTGAATCAGCCGACAGAAGATCTTCCTCTCTGTAAATGCTACTTTCCAATGAAAATAAATCTTAAAAAAAAAAAAAAAAAAAACAGATGTCAGGTCCTCCCCTAGTTAGAGCGCTGTCCTGAAGTTGGTATTACTCTCAAGAAGTTGGTATTACTCTCAAGCGTCTTTTCGTACTTCCGTCACGTTTATTTCCATAAACACTGCGTGGTATTTAGTGAGTTTTTAAAAGCCCACATAAATGTTGCATCTTGCACGTAACCGTCTGCCAGGATTTCCCACCTCGCGTGTTTGACACCTGCTAGGCACAGCTGAGAACTGAGGGGGCGTGGCGGGACTGCCGTGGGCGGGGCTGGCCGAGGGGCGTGGCGGTGGGCGTGGCGGCGGGCGGAACTGGGGCGACTCGGGGCCTCGGGGCGGGGCGGCTCGTTGCGGCCCGGAGCCCGCCACCATGGTGGCGCTCGAGGTGTATCTGGTGGCGGCGGCGCTCCTGGCCGGCCTTATCTTCTTCCTCACTCGCAGCCGGCGCCGGGCGGCAGCAGGTAGGAGGTGCCGCGGCGTCAGGGCCGGCGGATCGCGGCTCTCGGGCGGTCTCCTCAGGGCCGCGCTGGCCTAGGCCGCGGTGTCGCCGCTCCTGCGCACGCGCCGGCCGTGCTGCCGAGGCTGACGAGTCTTGGGCGCGAGCATGCGCGTTTGTGGGGCGTGGGGCGTGGGGCGCCCCGGGCGGAGCCCCGCGTGGGCACGCGGTGTCTGCCCACTCGCCCCTGGCCACTGTCTCCTTGAAGCAGTCCATACCTGTAGTCCCAGAGGGGCCAGGCACACACCCTCCCGATCTCCTCTTCGGAGTTCTGCCCGCTGGAAGGCCCAGGGGATTAGCAGGCCTCCAAGGCTGGCCTCTCTCCGAAACTGACAGCCTCCCCGCCCTGGGGAGAGCCAGGGTGCCACCTTGTCCTCGGCTCTCCCGTCCCTCGTCCTTACACCTGACCAGAAGACCGCGTCACTGGCCAGGACTCAGCCGCACGGGTTGCCCACCCTCCAGTCCCCTCCTTTAGCAGCGTTTGGGTAGGGTTGTGTGACACTCTGGGCTCCCAGGCCACCTGAGCACCTGTGTGTCCCCGGGACAGGGGAGAAAAATGGGTGAGGCAGGTAGCTGGAAACGCAGCCCCCACCAAGGAAGTGTTTGATGCAGGTGGGGTGCCCCATAAAAATCACAGCAAGGGAGGCAGGGAATAAAAAAATCGTGCCGTGGGCATTGGAGAAAATCTAGGGACATGAGGATGGGAGTCTTGATGGAAGAGTGGAGTATCTATCCCTGTGGGAGCGAGGTGTAGGCCTGGGCTGCAAAGGCCTTGGTGGTCAGACGGCTGCAGGTGCTGTGGGTGCAGGAGGCTGAGGCCTCCGGCATGCTGCCCCACCTGCTGCCTGCAGCATTGCGGTTCTGTACCCTAAGCCGGTCCAGAGTCGCTGCCCAATGACGAGGAGCCCATAGCAGCAGGCCGGGTGGCCCAGCCCCGGTCTCTGGAGCCGGAGGAGCAGCGAGCTGGAGGTCGGCCCCGACGTCGTAGGGACCTCGGTAGCCGCTTGCAGGCCCAGCGTCGGGCCCAGCGGGCTGCCTGGGCGGAAGTGGATGAGAACGACGAGGAAGCAGGCATTCCAGGTAAGGAGGATGGAGGATCCAGCCTTGTGGGGAAGGGAGCTAAGTGGAGGTGTGGGACACACAGGCTCAGTGTGGGAGGGGTGTTTGGAAACCACGAGATGCAGCAGGGGAGATGACTTGGGAACTGGCCTGTCATTGTGGAAGCCAGCAGTTCCAGACCCTGAGCGAGGTCCCACTGATCCAAGATGTGAAAATGTCTTCACACCGACCCAGCCCACTCCTTGTAGCCCTGCACCCTTATTGGAGTGGGGTCCCTGTGACCGTGGAAGGATTTACACAGAGGCCTCCATATCCCTGGTGCTGGCAGACCAGCAGGGCCCTTAGGAATTAGCTCCCTTGGTTCAAAAAGCAACCCGACCTTGTGCCATCCCTCCCATCCCAGACTTGAGGTCAGACATCCTTGCTGAGCAGCCTCAGCGGGCCTGGTCCCGGGGTTAGCCCTGAGATCAGAGCTGCCACTCACATTGGCTGTTGTGGGACAAAGCCACTAGCCAGTGACTGCTCCCATTGCCCTCAGCAACTTTTGACTGTGGTAGGGAGAATGTCACATGTGAGGCTGGCATACGTTTCCCCATGAGTTGCCTGGAAGTTTGGTCCTGAAAGAAAACCAGGGACTGTTGCAAGCCTGGGTACCCAGGGCAGTTGGTGTCTGGCACCTCCTGCTTTACGGCGATTCAGGACCTAAGGTCTGTTATGTTGTCCTGGGGTTCCTCTCCTCCTTCCCCTCTCTAGGTCCCCTCACACACATGTGCGCATGCATGCGTTCAATAGGGTGCCTGTGGAGCAGGTGCCATCCCCTTGTGAGGAGAGAGATGAGAGAGGGGTGGGCCCGTTGTTACAGTCCAACCTGGCTAGGACCTGAACTGCCTTTTTCTGACTGTCCACAGCCCAGGAGGAAGAAGGTGTGGAGAAGCCAGTAGAAACACATGTGTCTGGGAAAATTGGAGCCAAGAAACTCCGGAAACTGGAGGAGAAGCAGGCGCGAAAAGCCCAGCGTGAGGCAAGTGGGAGGACTGGGGTGCAGCTCTGGAAGAGGGCAGGGCATCCCCCCTTCTTTTCTCTCCCCTAGAGGGCCCCCTCACCTGCTGGGCTAGTGTTGGCTGCTTGCTTGACTGTGAGCTCTACGGCCTGTCCGGGAGGGCCAACCTCTAGCTGGGGATGGGGGCTACACCCCATGAACACTTCTCTCCAGGCAGAGGAGGCTGAGCGTGAGGAACGGAAGCGTCTTGAGTCCCAGCGAGAGGCGGAGTGGAAGAAGGAGGAAGAGCGGCTTCGCCTGGAGGAGGAGCAGAAGGTAAGGGTGACCTCTGACCTCTGACCCCCGACCACTTGCTTCCTGAGCAGCACCATGAAACCCTGCAGGTTGAAAAAACCCTGCAGGCTGCGAAGCAGGCGGCAGGCCGGGTTTACTTGGTTGCTGGACTCTTTTTGTTTGTTTGTTTGTTTGTTTGTTTGTGTATTGGCCAAATAGTCTGTAGAATGTTCCTCCAGTTGCCATTTTTCTCATGGGTAGGCAGGGTTACGGGTTGGAATGAAGAAAGCAGGTGAAGTTCCTTGTTTCAGACCACATCCCGAGGGTCTCCAGTGGACACCTTATCATGGGCGAGGCTGGCCTGGGTTACTGGACTGAGGATGTGTGTGTCGGATGTCTCCCCGATGATGTCACTGTGTTTTTCCTGTCTTCCTGTGCCCGTCCCACATGTGAGGAGTAAGGGATTCGGCTGCACCCCCTTGAGGAGAGAGAGCATCTGCCCATGTTACTGTCCGTGAGTCTCCCGTGCAGGGATTGGCTCTTCCCCGGTTCATCCAGTCATCTCCTCTTATCCCTGTGGGCTCAGAGGTGTTTACTTTGAGCTTTGTGCCGGAACTAGTGGCAGCTGACTTCTGGTCTTGCTCTGGCTGCTCCGGCTTTGGCCCTTTAAGCTGGCTGCTGTGTGTGTTTTGCATCACTTCATTGTTTTATGTTTTGTACATTTTCTTGCTTTCTGGTTCCATAAGGTATTTCTAGCTCATCCTGAGTATTTCCTGCCACAGCTTTACCTGTGTGTGTATGTGCGCGCCTTTTTAAAGAACTGTTGTCCTTTTTTTTTTTTTTCATTATTTTACTTATTTGAAAAGCAGAGTAACAGAGGCAGAAAAAGAAGCAAGAGAAAGATATCTTCTCACATGATGGTTATGATACGGGCTGAACCAGGCTGAAGCCGGGAGATAGGAACTCTATGTGGGTCTCCCACATGGGCCATCTTCCCAAGTTGGATCGGAAGCAAAGCAGCTGGTACTTGAACCTGTACTCCAGTATGGGGTACTGGCATCACAAATGGCAGTTTAATGCACTGCGTCGTAACACCAACACCTACCTTTAGATTTAAACACATTTTTTTCTTGGACTCAGTGTTGTGACTTGGTGGGTTAAGCTGCCACCTGAAATGCCAGCAGCCCATATAGTCACCAGGTGATGTTCTGACTGCTCTACTGAACCAGCTCCCTGCTAATGTGCCTGAGAAAGCAGTTACGAGTGGCTCAAGTTTCTGGACCCCTGCACTCATGTGGGAGACCTAGAAGTTCCCGGTCCTTCTCCAGGTTTTAGAGTCATTTGGGGAGCGAACCAATGAATAGAAGATCTCTGTCTAACTCTGCCTTTCACATAAGCAAATCTGAAAAAGATTTTTTTTTCCCTCTGTGCTCTGGAAAATGGATTGTGTTTAGGAGGAGGCTGTTGCACCACATGAATGTGGCGAGGGAGTACCACGGATAGGCTGATGCATTTTCTAAAAGTTAGAGAAAAAATTGGGACATAGGACCTCGTTTCTGACCAGCAGGCAGCAGGTTGAGTGATTGCCCAAGCCAGGGCTCAGTAGGAAGACCAGCGATGAGGAGATCGCGTAGTCTGCCTGGTGCCAGTGAGATGACCCAGCAGCCATGTCACAAAGGCAGAGGAATTTGGGCAGAGATACAACTGTGACAGCCACTGAGAAGGCAGTGCTTATGCATGGCAGGAACCTCAGCCAGGTGGGCTAGGCAGAGTGCGGAGAAACAAGAAGGGGCAGAGCTGTGATGGCAGCAGCAGGAAAGACGCCCCAGGGAGCAGGAGGAGAACCTGGAGAATGGATTCAAAGGGGCTAACTTGCAGGTAAAGCTGCTGCCCTTGTGAAATAGCAGGTAAAATTACCACCTGCCAGCATCCTATGTGGGCATCCATTCATGTTGTAGCTGCTATAGCTGCGCCACTTCCTTTTTTTTTTTTTTTTTTGAGATTTATTCTATTTTCATTACAAAGATATACAGAGAGAGGAGAGACAGAGGAAGATCTTCCATCCAATGATTCATTCCCCCCCAAGTGACTGCAACCATTAGTGCTGCGCCGATCCGAAGCTAGGAGCCAGGAGCTTCTTCCAGGTTTCCCACGCGGGTGCAGGGTCCCAAGGCTTTGGGCCGTCCTTGACTGCTTTCCCAGGCCACAAGCAAGGAGCTGGATGGGAAGTGGAGCTGCCGGGATTAGAACCGGTGCCCATATGGGATCCTGGCGTGTTCAAGGTGAGGACTTTAGCTGCTAGGCCACTGCGCTGGGCCCATGCTGCTCCACTTCAATCCAACTTCCTGCTAAAGGCTTGTGAAAAGTAGGAGAGGGCCCAAGTGTTTGGGCCCCAACCATCCACATGGGAGACCCAGAAAGCTGCTGGCTTTGGCCTGTCCCTGCTCTGTCTTTGTAGCCATCTGTAGAGTGTACCAGTGGATGGTTCTGTTCAGCTCAGAACCTGGGGCATCCCAGACAGTAGCAAGCCATGTCCCTGAGAGCTCGGCTCCAGGCCCTGCACCCTGCAGGGAAGCAGGTACCAGAGCAGAGATGAGGTGGGTATGGTTCCCAAATTCCTGATTCTTGCTCCTCTGTGTCTGCAGGAGGAGGAGGAGAGGAAAGCCCGGGAGGAGCAGGCCCAGCGGGAGCACGAAGAGTACCTGAAGCTGAAAGAGGCCTTCGTGGTGGAGGAGGAAGGCGTGGGCGAGACCATGACTGAGGAGCAGGTGTGATGCCCGCTGCTGCTGGGGAGCCCTCCTTTCACCCTGGAGGGTCCCACCTGTGGGAATCAGGGCCACCTCCCCATCCCAGACCCCAAGCTGGCAGTGGTCAGAGGCTTTGTCCCGGGAAAGGTGCCTCTGAAACCCTTACCCTAGGGGCCCTGCCGTTTGTGTGGGCAGGCGAGCATGGGGCTCAGCACGTGGGTAGGCAGCCCCAGGAGGTGGGCCAGCACAGACCCTGGTGGCCCCTTCCAGAGAGCCGCTCACCCTGACTTCTCTGCTCCTCTAGTCCCACAGCTTCCTGACAGAGTTCATCAACTACATCAAGGTAAGAGGCCTCAGGCCAGCATGGGCATCAACTCCGTCTCACGTGTACCCGTGGTGTGCCTTCTAGGCTGGGGGTGGGGGCAGACATGAGCCTGGCTCCAGGATGTTCATGCAGGGGTTCCAGAGGCTGGTATGCTGGCCCCAACCATGGGAGGCCCTTCTCTGCTAGCTGAGGGTGCAGGCGTGTGGGCAGGGCACAGGCACGGCCTTTGAAGGCTGTTGCACACCCTGGGCTTGACAGCTTCGCTGCTCCTCAGACCCCACGCGCAGAGTGAGTCACCATGTTTCCAAGCCTCTCCACGTGTGTTTCCTGTCAGTCCGTCACAGGGAGGCTCTGCTGAGCTGAAATAAGCGTTCCTGCCACATGCTCTGCCAGGAGCTTCAGAGATAGTAGGAGGGTGTTTCCCTGGGAATGTAGGGTGAGCAAGGCAGCAGTGGGCCCTTCCTGCTGCAGCCACCCCGACAGCAGCACAATGCCACGCGGGGTTGCATAAGAGCGACCCGTGCCACCGCACTCAGTTCTCAGCAGCAACCCCTCCCACAAAGGATGTGGTGAGGGGACAGGTTTGCCAGCGCAGCTCAGAGGTGCAGAGGCGGCTCAGGGAAACGGGGCAGAGGGAGCGGGGGCGACGGCTTGTAGGGGGTGGCACTTGGGCTGCCGGGGAGCCAGAACTTGTGTAATTCTCCCCCTACCTCTGCTGAAAGCAGCCCTGGGAGGCCTCCCACAGCTTTGGGCCCAGTGCTGCTCAGAGGACAGAAGGCCAGCTGCCCCAACAGGCTGGACATATCCCCTTCTAATGGAGGTGTTTCTGCACCAGGGCATCCAGAAGGGCATGCAGTGCGCTGCTGCTGTTGGGAATGTGCTGTCCCCATCTGCCTGGGAGGGCAGCCAACAGGTTGCCTCCAGGAAACCTTCTAAAGTGGATTTAGAGGAGAGGGTCAGCTTCAGGGTGTCCCTCTCCCCTTCAGAGGGAAGACCCCTGGACAGTTCTGCCCTTGCCTTTGGAGGTACCATTCATAGGGAGTCCTGGAACTCTGGGAGCTTGGAGGGTTCTGTGGCTGTGCTGTCTTGTAACGACAAGAAAGTTTCTAAATTTAGCCCCCCATGTTGCTCCCCACTTCCAGGAGAGAGGCTCCTTTGCCCTAAGATCTGAGAGCCAGAAAGCATGTTCTGTGTAGCCTTGGGTAGCTGGGTCTCCTCATTCACCTCTCCTTTCTGATCAAGGGTGGGATGGGTAGATTCGTTTTTCCAATGCACCTTGGGCCCTAGCAGTGCCTCGGCCCAGGTCCTCGGGAAGTGCCTGTGGTGGCTTCATGACCCTGCTCCGAGCTGTTCCGGAGAGTCCCATGCCTGCTCCCTGGGTTATAGAGAGAGGCCAGCTGGCCAGGTCACCTTGTGCTTGCCCAGCTGTCTCTCTCCTGCCTGCCTGCTTGCGTATTCAGTTTGGCATTTCAAGCAAGTCACATGCCATCTGCAGCCGGGAAGGTGTCACCATGTCACTCCTCCCCCAGCTCCCTCACTGTGGAAGATCATGGAAGTGTGAAGGACCACCTCTTTTTGAGTCACATGCTGTCTGTGGGAGAGGTGGGGGTGCTTGAATTTGTATTCCCAGCCATGTACCCCACAACTGAAGTTTCCAGTGGGAGTGTAGGGGCAGCACGTGCAGTGTGGCACGTGGCTGTGTGTGGCAGGCGTTCAGCAGGCTTTATGCTGCTGATGGTGTTAAGAGTGTGTGTGCAAACAAGTGTGGGCATGTCACGGCTATGGGGGTCCAGGCCAAGGGGCAGGGAGCCAAGGTGTGGCAAAGTGAGCTCCACTTCCTCTGCTGAGAGCTGCCCTGGGCTTGGGGCCTTGTCCACTCTTCCCATCCGTGAGTTCGTCTGTCTCAACAGGTGGCCTGTGAGTTCAAGGGTAGGAGCTGTTCCACCCTCTCAGTACCTTTCCTGGTGACAGTGTTTAAAAATAGCTTTTGGTGACTATCATTTCCTTTGTTCCTCTCCTGGTCTTTCTTCCAGCTGGGTGCAGGGGACAAGGAGCTGCGGGCCCTGGTTGCTCCCTGTGTGTCTGTCTCAAGTAGTCCCCAGGCCAGGATGGGACATGGGAAGGAGGGGATAGTGTGGGAAAGAGCCTTCCTCCCACATAGGGAATGAAAGTGTGTTCGTGTGTGTGAGTTTGTGTGTCTGTGAGAAGCAAAGATCTCTCATAGGAGCATGCGCTGGCTGATCCAGCCACTCACCAGAACAGATCAGCACGCACATCTCCGAAGGTGGTCATGCTCAGCTCTCCCTCTCTTTCCTTGCAGCAGTCCAAGGTCGTGCTTCTGGAAGATTTGGCCTCCCATGTGGGCCTGCGGACTCAGGTAAGCCCTGGAAGGTAGCCTGCTGGCAGAGGAAGCCTGCCTTCAAAATAGAGCCTTACTGTCCCTTGCCCCCAGCTGAGAGTATAGGGTAGAGGAAGCTCTTGCTTCCACAGCAGTCATACATTTTTATTAGAAGAAAAGATAGGAGAGAAAAAGAAAAAATAAATAAATTAATGAATTAAAATCTAAACTCTCTCATTCCATCAGCCCCAGCCCAAATCCAGTTACCTTGACAACTCTCTTGCAGGCAGGCTGCACCAGCGTGGTGAGAACACATCACCACTGCTCCTCTCAGCTGGAGGCAGGCCTGCACTGGGAGTGTGGCTGAGCCCAGGACCAGAGCTTGTGCCCCAGCTGAGAAGCACCAAGTGTCATTGGGGGCACGTGGGAGGGCAAGGTGATCCGACTGTAGGAAAAGGAAGGTTGCAGGTGCCAGGGGGTAGCAGTACCTGCCTCGGCTCTGAGAATTATTCTCTTCCTAGGATACCATAAACCGCATCCAGGACCTGCTGGCTGAGGGGACTCTGACAGGTGAGAGGATGAGGATCACCGCCAGCCCTGGCTTGGGGCACATCTAGCCACAGAGGACTGTGGGGTCGCCATCCGGATCTGGGCGGGCTGTGCAGGGAGGGCATCCTGAAGTCTGGGAAGGTGTGTAGCCAGTAGGACAGAAAACAGGCCCGAGTTGAGATTGTCAACATTGACTTCTGCCAGGCCTGGCCAGGCCAGGCACAGAGGAGGCCTGGGAGGATCTGAGGCAGTTATGAGTGGACCAGCCCAGGCAGGGCTCAGCCCCACGACCTGTCTATCCCCACAGGTGTGATTGATGACCGAGGCAAGTTCATCTACATAACCCCAGAGGAACTGGCTGCTGTGGCCAACTTCATCCGACAGCGAGGCCGGGTGTCCATCGCCGAGCTTGCCCAAGCCAGCAATTCCCTCATTGCATGGGGCCGGGAATCTGCTGCCCAAGCCCCTGCCTGACCCACTTGGACTTTGGAGCTGGAGTGGCCACACATCTTCAGTTACCCCCCAGCATTCCCTGCCATCCTGTGGCAGGGATGGTGCATGGCCAGGCAGTTGCAGATTAAAGACCTGTGAGCTCTAATGAGCTTGGTGTGCTTGCTGTGGCAGGAGAGCCTTGAGGCCTGGATGAACAGGTGACACAGGCTTCAGAAGGCAGGTTTCCTGGGCAGGTGATGGAAGTTCATTCAGAAAACCCCTGTTTCATGCTTACTATGTGCTTTTGTGCCTCATAGCTCAGTCCCTAAGATCTAAATGAGGTCCTTCTCTCCCTCCAACTGCCCTTGGAGTGAAAGTGGGGAAGCCTCTTAGGCCATGTCTCTTCAGCCATGTCTCAGAATTGCAAAGAAAGTCTCACTGTTTTTAATTCAGGCTGAGGAGCCTAATGTAGGGCTGAGAGCCCCTAGAAGAACGGTAGTGAGAAGGGCCAAGCATGGAGTCCTGGGGAAGATCAGCCTTTGGGCGAGAAGGAGCGGGAAGGCAGTTTGAATAAGACAATTGTGCAGCTGAGGGACACTGCTCATGTGGTCAGTCCTGTGACTCCAGTCCTACATCCTGCACCAAAACTGGTTTAAACAGTGTGGGTGATCCCACACCCTGGTGGATTTGAGAACCATCTGCTGAAGGGTGGGTGTGCCATGGGAGATATGCATCTCCTGTGAGCTGTTTGTGGCATGAGCATACTGCTGTGCTCATGTTTAAATGGGTAGTTTTGATACCAGGTGGCCCTAAACACGAACTGCCTGCTTCCCCCAGTGCCTGGTGGGGAAAACAGTTTTCTGTCAAGCCCAGGGTGAGCCATCTAAGTGGATGGTGATGCCAAGGCAGGACAGGGTCTTGCCCTGTCAGACTCCAGGACAGAGCCTTCCTGAGGGCTTAACAGGTGATTTGGTTCATTTGGTGCCATAAGCATTGAGTGTAGGACTACATTTCGGGTAGGCTGTGGCACTACTTCCGTCAGCCACCGACTTGGAGTCGGCATGGGAAGGACCTCAGGCAGTGCTTGGGAGGCCATCTGGGGCCCTCAGCCTAGTTCATTAGCATCACCAGGGGAGTTTCCTGTAGTCTCAGGCCAGGTGGCACCTGGGACCAGTTGAATCAGAACCTCTGAGCTTAATCTGAGCATTAGCAGCAGATTCCAACACATGGCCAAGATTAAGAACTGGAAGGAGGCAGGGCTGGGGTGGAGTGACAGGTGATGGAGTTGCAAGGAATTAAATTTCAGGCAGCACTTCTGCCCCACCCCCTCCGCCCTTCTGCTCTGCCATCCTCTGCTAGTACTGTACAGGTAGCCAGATGCCTGAGGCCACCCTCATGTCTCAGTCCCAGTGTGGTGCCCCAGGGCCAGGACTAGGAGAAGTAGCAAGTGAAAGACACAAATGCAGGTAGCAAAAGTTTAAGCCCCAATTACATAAAAGCATAAATAAATTTTACAGGCTACCCTGCAGAATATAAGAAAAGCATAAATCATTAAAGTAAAATGCGGTTGAGGTTTTAACCTACTACGCCATGGCATCAGCCCCACAGCAGCACCTTGAAACTAATATAAGGGACCAGCCCTGTGGTGTGCAGGTTAAGCCTCAGGCTGTGGTGTTTGCATCCCGGATAAGTGTCAGTTTAAATCCTGGCTGTTCCCCTTCCCAACCAGCTCCTTTCTAATGTGCTTGGGAAAGCAGCATGACATGACCCCAGTTCTTGGGCCCTTGCATCCCACGTGGGAGAGCTGGAAGAAGCTCCAGGCTTCTGGCTTCAGACTAGCCCAGCTCTGGCTGTTGTGGCCATTTTGGGAGTAAACCAGCAATTGGAAGATATTTCTCTATTCTCTTAAATCTGCCTTTCAAATAAAAAATAACCTAAGTGCTACTATAACAGTACCACAAAGTATGCAAAACAACATAAATCATTTAAATTCTGTAGCTTAGTAGTCACACATGTACTGGGCTAGAATCAAGATAAGGATGCATTCTTTTCTGGAGAGTTCAAAATTTTACTTATCTTTATTTTATGTGAAAGATCTTCGGCCTCCTGGCTCATTCCCCAAGTGCCCACAACAGTCGGGTCTGGGCCAGATTAGAGCCGAGAACCCAGAGTTCTGTCCACGACTGTCGTGGGGGTGATGGGGACCCAAGTGCTCCTCCCGTTATTGGAAGCATCTAGCTAGGACTCAACCCCAGATACTCTCATGTGGGTTGCAGGTGTCCTGAGCATCAAGGCAACCGCTGTGCCAGACGCCCGGCCCTGGATATTGTTTTAGAGCCTGCAGAGGCCACCCACATTTCTTGGCTGTGGATCTTTCCTCCAGCTGTGAAGTCGGCTATGTTGCTTCTGTCCAGCCTCTAGCCAGAGCTCTTCACTCTTCTGCTGACTACAGGGAGCTCGGTCATTGCACCGGGCCCACCTGCTCATCCAAGCGGATTCTCTTGTAAAATCAGCTAATCAGAAACCTTAATTCTATCTACCACTTTAGTTTTCCTTTTCCCTATCATATTCACATATTCGTATTTAGAGAGTAAAACTTGGAATTCTGAAAAAGGAAAAAAGGATCCTATCCACGTGGATCCTGTGAACTATTAGGGAGGACAGTGATAAAGTCAGTCACACAGATTTACATGCCTTGTCAGCTCTGGCGTTAAGATCATCTACTTTTATAATGAGGGGCCCGGTGCCATGACCTAGGGGCTAAGGTCCTCGCCTGAACGTGCCAGGATCCCATATGAGTGCCGGTTCTAATCCCAGCAGCTCCATCACTTCCCATCCAGCTCCCTGCTTGTGGCCTGGGAAAGCAGTCAAGGATTGCCCAAAGTCTTGGGATCCTGCACCCATGTGGAAAACCTGGAGGAAATTCCTGGCTGCTGGCTTCGGATCCGCGCAGCAGCGGCCGTTGTAGTCATTTGGGCAGTGATCTTCCTCTCTGTATATCTGACTTTGCGATAAAAATAAGTTAAATCTTAAAAAAAAAAAAAAGATGAATGAGGAAGATTTTCATCTCCTATGGTTTAGAATTAATCTCTTCAGAGACTGGGTGAGCTCAGCTGTAAAACTGTTCAAGGCTAGTGCCTTTTAAAAGGGCAGATCTAACTTAATTTCTTTTGTAGTTATTGGTCTCATTAAAATTATGTTTAAGTTTTTTCTTTTCCTATTTTGAAGCTTTACTTTGTGTAGTGAAAGACAACTAAAAAACTAGAATCTGCCCCCCACCCTTAGCTCACACATCCCTGCTCTCAAGGACTTTGCCTCACCCCGAGTTGGAACTGCATGCACTTCTGGCCTTTGACCACACTGCCTGCCACTTTCCCCTTCCCTGTGTGTTATGTTGCATGTGTGTGTGTTATATTCTTACTGTTTTTTCCTACTGGAATGCAAACTCCAGGGTAGATTTTTGAACAAACACTTCACATTTTAATAGTTTGTAAAATATCAGAACTTACCTGTTTATTCTTCCAAACTTCTTTTCCTTCTCAATTTTCTTTTCTAGCAAAAGCAATACATGCTCATGGTAAAAGTTATGGCAAAAATTATACTTATGCCTAGGGTGTTGTCTTCTGCTCTCAACATCTCAAGGGAGCTACTGTAGAATTTTAAGATCGGCATTGTGTGGCACTGCGTGTTAAGCTGCCACTTGAGACACCTGCTTCTGCTGTCAGAGTACTGGTTCAAGTCCCAGCTTCTCTGCTTCTGACCCAACTCCTTGTAAAGTATCAGGGCAGCAGATAGTGGAGTCCCTGGCTCCACCTGACCCAGGCTGACCCTGTCTCAGCTGTTATAGGCATTTGGTGAGTGAACAGAGAATGGAAGATCTTTCTCTGTCACTCTTTCAAATTAATTTTAAAAAGTTAATTTCATGCATTTCTTTTCTGCCTCTCTTTGCATGTAGATAATATGTATTCTTTAAAAAATAATAGAAAAATCAAAGGGTGATAGGTATGCGTGTTTCTGCCACTGCTTTGGTTGCTCAATATGGTCATCTTTTTGTGATACTCATGTCAGTCTTTTAAATGGCTGTTGTTAACAGTGCACTGAGTGTTATTGTAACACATTTACTCAATCTTGTGTTAATACAATGATGTACAGAACTTGTATTTAGGGCTTTAAACAATCCTCTTTACCGTCACAGTCAAGTACATCGATAACTGTCCTCATTCATATATTGTTTGTGATGATGTTTCTTCTTTGTCATGGGCCACTGGGTCCAAAATATGCACACTTGACATTTTTACACTCCTCAGCTGTCCTCCCAAAGGGTGTACTGATTTATACTATCAAACCACAGTGTGAATTCTTTGCTCACACAGTCATTAACATGTGATGTGTTTGATCTTATCAAGTTTTAAAAAATATGATCAAGTTGTTTTAATGATTGCTTCATCGCATTGTTGCACGATTTCCTTCCAACAGTTATGGAAATGACCAAACAGGTGGGAATAGTTTTTTTTTTTTTAAGGTTTATTTATTTACTTGAAAGACAGAAGGAAAGAAAAATATTTGCTGGTTCGCTCTGCAAGTGGCCACAATAGCCAGAGCTGAGCCAGATTGAAACCAGAAACCATCTACTGGATCCAGGTCTCCTGCATGGCTGCAGACGCCCAAATATCTGACCCTTCTTGCACTACCTTCCCAGATGCATTAGGTGGGAGTTGAATCAGAAGTAGAAGAGGTGGGACTCTTAACTGGTATAAACAGGATGCCAGCATTATTGCCAGGGGCTTAATGTGCTGTGCCACAATGCCAGCCCCTAACTGTTGGGATTGACTACAATTTATTAATTGCACCTACTAACATCCTGGGGGGAAGACTCCATAAACCACAAGGAGCTACGCTTGGGAATGAACGAACAGGGGCTAGAGGGGGTGGACTTTGTAGTAACAAGAGGATGAGGTGGCCTCTAGATCTTGCCAGGGATGGGATGTCACTGGCTTGTCTGAATAATTCTGAGGGTGCAGGGACATGAACTGCACGTGGTCTGCTGAGTAGGGACATTGGCCAGGGGACCTTGTCCACATAGATCCAGGGGAGAGGGTGACTTGCAATAAAGCCATTGGAGGCCCTTCTGGTTTTAAAGGATGCCAAGGTAGCATATAATATCGA